TATTTTCTTCTTCCTTCTAGTGATTCTCTCTCCTGATCTCTCTCTCCGATTCCGGCGATTTCATCAGAATCATGCTCTGCAAGAACCAAATGAGAACGCCGACCACCGTGGATTGGTTTATCTGGGGCGGTTTGGATCGAAATCTCCGCCAGAATCTGAAATCGGTGTTGGGTTACAATCAGCAACAACTCACGATGCTTGGTGTTGTCAATGATGTCGGAGAGAGCATCATTTTCGTTTTCGGTTACACCAGTACCAAGTAGGACTGATTCTTATTTGCTTTAACCGTTTGATTCGAGTAGAATTCTCTGATTTTTGTTGGATCTGTGTTGAAACCTGTAAAAGGATGCAGTAGGAAGAAGTTGTAATTTTGGAAATGGAAATTGAGTTTGGTTTCCTGATTCACACATTCGTGAATTATGTTGTTTGTAGTTTGTTTTCATAGAATCTGATGTTAAATTGAAATTTCCTTGTTCTACGAGTGTATGTTTCTCTTATCGATTTAGTATTGTTGTTGTTTTAGTTGAAGCCTGAGGAAATCGAAGGAATCAACAAAGATTATGTTGAACCTGGAACACTTGCCGCAACAGGATTGTTCCTTGGTGGCAATAAGTACATGGTGATCCAAGGAGAGCCAAATGTTGTCATTCGAGGAAAGAAGGTAACTATATTGGTTGGTTTGGTTTGTTGTCAGTTCTTAGCTCTTTCGATTTGGTAGCTCTTGAAAACCTCTAATAATTGAAGAGAAGATGTAGTACTTTCTGAAACTTGGTTTAGTGAACTTATTCATGTATATAGTTCTGGAATTACAAACATAAGAACTCTTAAGAAGTGAAAAGAATTTGTATCTTTTCTCTTAATTGGTTTATTTTGTTTGTGAGAATTGGATTAGTGTTGATCTTTGCTTGTGGTTAATCTAAATTCTGTTCTTGTCTCTTTGCAAAATTTGTAGAGGGGTTTTGATGGCTGATGCAATGATTTTGCCTTGTGGACACACTTTTGAAGCTGGAGGGATAGAACAAGTTAAACAGATGGTACAAAGTTTTGTTTCTTCCATCACAATCTCATCTTTTGCTCTATGATATTTTCTTTTGCTTATGAAATCTGTTTTCCGTTGTGTTATCTTAGAAAGTTTGCTGCACATGTTCTAGTGGGTATTTGATTCGTTAAGGGATGCATGATCCTTGTAATACATGGCATTGTTCTCTTTGTTGAACACTAGGAAAGTCGAAACGAAATGTGTATTAGTTGGTTTTTTATATGATTTGAAGAAGAGAGATTCTTGTATTAATGTAAATTAAACGCCAATCTGTCTATTCATTTGGATGTTTGTCAAGAACAGATTATTACTTTTGTCACAAGAACAATTTTTTTTTAAGTTCCCTTTTGAGGTTCTAGCCAATGGAGGAGAAATATTTTAAAAACAATTATGAAGTTTTAAACTAACTTTATTATTGGTTTAATATTATAAAATTGTTAACAACCTGTAATTGGGTTCTTACCAATGTACATGCTCCTCTGAGGTAGCTAGTGAGATACGTTGAGAACAAACAGAACATAGTACGTATATCATTTGTCATAAACTCATAATAATCACACGATGTTCCAAACATTCCATAAAGCTGTACACGAATCTCCCTCTTCTCATTTCCTCCATTTTATGGTTCTTTTTACAACAACAACAAAAGCTCCTGGAATTAATCAAGAAACGAGAGAACCCCCGCAAAAATAAAAACAAGAAAACAAATAAATCTACCGTAAACAAAAAAGCAATATTCACATTTTCTTTTCATCGTTTATTGCTTCACGAGGGTAGAGAGAGCCAAGCAATTGTCAGCCATTTCATGCAAAGTGCTTGTGGATTTAGCGAACATATTCGACCCTTTAGCTCCCCCCATTGCGTCGTTGCACGTATCAAAATCCGTTAAGGATGCACTAAGATTGATGTTAAGGCTAAACCCATCGTGCTGTTTAATGTTATTCAACGCCTTTTGTAGATTATCGAGCGCACTGTCGTAGTTTGAGTAACAAGTCTCGAGTCCTCCGCCACTTTTCCGGCCACTCGCGGCGGTTTCTTTCGCCTTGATCGTCCTCTTCATCAGCTCTCTTATGGACACTTCCGTCGCTGCGTTCACGTTCCTTTGTCCTTTCACGACTGATCTGCATAGAACCTTGAAATCCGATACGGAGCATGGATCGCGCGCCCCGCCTATCATCCTGCGAGCCATTGCTTCGCCGCCTTGGCTCGCCGTGAGGAGGAGGAGAACCACCGTAGCAAGGTGGATATTCGTTGTCATGTTATAGATTTGTGTATGTTTGTATGTATATGTTTTGAGGTGTGTTACAGGTTAGAATTGTGGTGTTTGAACAATGGTTGTTGATTATTTGACCGAAGAGAGGGAGGTTGGTTATTTATACGTATTGCATATGCTAAATAAAAATGGATATTTTTAGTAACTTCTTTTGAGGTAAATAGTTTAAATAATTTGTCACCGGTGAATTAAAGAGACATATCAAATTTAGTTCCTTGGTTATTAGGTTTTATGATGGATTGTTTTCCTGTGCTGTGATTATTTCTTGGGTTTTGAGGAAATGCGAATTATAATTTTCCATGAAAAAAAAATCCAAATTCTTTTTATGGTTCTCTGCTGCACTGATTCCATTGCCAATGCATCAACTTACAAAATGGCCATTCCTAATTCATACTGATTTGGGCTTTTTCAGTGTTCACTTGAAATTTATAATGAAGTCCATTCACATAATGCATAGTAGCCACAGTTTTTTTTTTTTTTTGAGAAAAACATAGTAGCCACAGTTGACATGCCAATAAAGTATAAATGCACCACCAACATTAAATGATTTATTTAATAAAAAAATTATTAATAGTTTGACAAACTCCCTCAACTAAAGAAGATTATAAATTCATTAAATAGTAATTAAAGTCCATAAGTAATTGTGGTGGTTTTGGATGGCGACGGCGCGATTAGTGGGCACACCTTAAAAGCTTAAACGTAAGTCAAAGATTGATCATTCTTTTAATTGCCAACAAATCTAAAGATCTTAAAACTGACGTGTAGAACAAGCTCGATCGGGTTTATTCGTTTCGTTGGCCGAAGAAAAAAAAAGTCTTAGAGCACATCAAATCATAGATTAAAAATGCATCATTTTAACTATAAACAACAAAAAGAAAAATACAGCACAGTGTTACTGTCATTACTCATTACTATACACACACGGTTTAGTTTAGATT